CTTTCCCTTATCTGTTTAGAAGAACTCTCTCCTTTATCTGCTTTAGAAAGACCCTCTCCTGGATCTTTGCCAGAACAATTCTTCTCCATGGTATCTGGCTTTATGCTCTTCTACTTCTGACCCTCCAACGGGGCAAATAACAAAGTTAGCTGGCCTTGGTTGTTACAGCAATAAGTATAAGCAGGAGCCTCTCTGCATACCTTACCTTGGTATTTACTATAAACATCAGGCCTTATCTCTGCTAGAAGCAGACATTGTCTGAAAAATATGCCGTTAATTTCAGAGTTCAGTTAGTTAGGAGAGGCTTAGCTGAAATGTAAAATTACTGAAAAGAAAATTGGTTCTGTTTTACCTCAAACCAGGATGGTACAGGCCCCAAATACCAGATTAGGCTGAAGCCCAGTGATTTTATCATAGCTCTCCCAGGCAAAGGAAAACAAAGTGATAACACAGCAAATGGCAAAAGCCGAAAGCAGCTACTAACAAGCCCTGGAGTTTAATATACAGCAAGAGAGAGAGCACACTACGGAGCAGGTGAGGGAACAAATAAACCAGTATCGAGACCAAACAAGTAAATATCTCTACCAGCAACAGCAATTAGCAAATTGCCAAGTAACAGCTAAGCAGGTTTAACTGCTATAAATTCAGTTTAGCACACCCTGATAAAAACTATTGTTATCTTGAAACCCTTGGGCCACACATTGGGCACCAAAAAGGATTGTGATGCGTTGACCATGGCCAGCAACTAAGCACCCACAAGCTGCTTGGTCACTCCCCACCCTAACAGGATTGGAAGAGCAAAAGTAAGGGAAAACTTGCGGGTTGTGGTAAAGACAGTTTAATAAGCGAAGGGGAAAAAAAAAAAGACAAAATCCTAGGGAAAAAAGAAGGAAAAAGTCCTGCTGATACAAAGGCAATTATTCACCACCAGCAGACTGATACCCAGCCAGTCTCTAAGCAATGGCTACTTTGGAAAGTATCCCCTCCTCTGAGTTTTATTGCTGTGCATGATGTCATATGGTAAGGAATATCTCTGTTGACCCAGCTGTGTCCCCTCCCAACGTGTTGCCCACCCACAGCCTGTTCATTGGGTGGCAGAATGAGAAACAGAGAAGGCCTCGATGCTGTATAAGCACTGTCCAGCAGTAGCTAAAACACTGGTGTGTTATCAACACTGTTTTGGTTACAAATCTAAAACACAGCACTGTACGGGCTGCAGTGAAGAAAATGAACTCCATCCCAATCAAACCCAGTACATAAGTGATGATGTGGGAAGAAGGAACCCAAAATCAGTTAAAAGAGACTTTAAAGCCTTGGGAAGGGTGCTTAAG